TGGGATCCACACCAAAATCAAAACCGGCCCCACCAGCTGAAGCTGCTGCAAATTCACTTCCTCCCTCCCCATCGCTGGTGAAGATTGGTGTACTGACATGGAAGGGGAGATTGAGAAAACATATGGAGGGTACTATTTTACTATGTCCAACAATGGAAACAATAAGAAGCAACTGACCTAATAAGTACATCGGAAAGAGCATTTGGACCAGAGGGAACGTGAACAATGTGACTGGAATCATTACTATTTACAGCTGAAAGAAGGGCTTCCAGCTTCTCTGGCTTACAATCATCTTCTTCACCAAAATCAATGATATCAAGTGCCACGTTGTTCTTCTTTAATTTCTTTCCAATCATCTCCAACAACTTTTTTTCTTGTTTAGCAGGACTAAGAACACATAGGATAGGTACTTGAGAACAATCGATAACTGGGATGGCACAATAAACATGCATAAAAGGGATACAAGAGCCTACCTTCCCGCAAAAACAATAATTCTTTGTTGCTGCTTCTTATTCTGACGATGCTTAAGAGCCAACTGAGCCACCTGGATCCCAGCAGCCAAGTTTGTCTCCCCACCTATCTCTAAACCTAGTGTGGAAAAAATAAAAATGTTAAAAGTTTTATAGAGTGAGCGTAGTGAGAAATCTAGCAAAAAAGACTACAGCTCTTCACTGTAGATTAATTTACAACCAGCAACACATGGCGTGTAACGTATCAAAAGTGTAAAGCCCAATAGTGTCAAATTCAAGAATTTAGGAGGATATATACTTTTTTCGTAGGGAAAATTATTCAAAGAGAGGCGTATATATCATTAGTCATCTAAAATCTCATTATTCAGAAAAATCGACAGAACTGCACGACAGAAATGAACAGTCTATCAAAAATAAAATGATCGAATTCTATAGGGATCAATGAAAAGGTTACATGTATTGCATCTTATGAGTTACAGAGAATGTACAAAATGCACTTTAAGATTGTCCAAAACATCATTAGTCATGAGACAGAGAGTCACAATCCAGAAAAGCGACAGAACTAAGGAGCTTGTTTAAAATTTTGCAATTTTTTTCAAATACAGAAACGATCACATATAAATATCTTGTGCCTAAGTTTTCATGTAATCTCCCATGGCATTATAAGAAGCCTCAAACTCAAAAAAGGGAACTAACTTGAAAGAAAAGGCAAGTAAAAGAACTAACCATGCATGCACCCTAGAATCTTGCCAAGATCACTTGTAGGAGTTACCAAAACCCGAACCCCTTTTCCAGCCATTGTAAGAACTCCCACTGTATTCTCTGGGTTAGACTGTAAGGAAAAAAGCAAACGAGAAAAGAATTTCCTCAAAACTAAAGAACCATAGCTTAAACAAAAATAGCGAGACTAACAGATAATTCGAAGAAACTAATTACGATAGTTTCTATTTTGATAATGACGGCAATGTGATTTCGTTTTTTCATAATAAAATCCAATTCACAGCTACCAATACAATAAATCTAACTAGTTCACAACCCCAAACAGCAACGGAGGCCAAAGAGACAGAAGAACTAATTTCCCTCCAAACAGAACATAAAATGTAAAATCAAGACTCCACATTCCTTGATTTCCAAGAATCCATACAATGAAATATAGTCAAACAAGAGAAATCGATCAATCACCTGAGTCTTCGCTCCGCAAATGAGACTAATGGCATCCGATTGAGCTTGAAATCGCGAAGGAGCATAATCGCCGTTCCTCATCCATTCCGAATTGTCGATACAGATCATCGTCGCCTACCCAAAAGCAACGAAAAAAAAAAAAGATAGTTTCATATCCATACAAACTCAAGGTCATTAAACTAAGTAGCGAAGAATGAAATTCCAAAGAAATGGGGAAAACTGGATGAAATTTGCAATCTGGAACAAGAGATCAGTAATCAGTAACTACCTCGAGCACCATATTGAGAGATTGAAATCGCCGAGAAATCGAAGGAGTAGCAGAGAATCGCAGAGAAGGCAGAAGACTGAGGTTTCTTGCAGAATAAGCCGGAACGTCTGGAACTGAAGAAGCACTTCACCAGAGAAACCTCAATTTCCCTCCGTTTAAAGATGTGCATTTTGTTAAAATAATAATATTAATATAATAAATTATTTATAATATATAATAAATAACATAAATATATTATAAACAATTAAATTACAACTTTAGCTTTATAAACTTATCATATATTTGTGTTTATTTGATACCGAACTTTAAATACATTACTAAACCTTTAATTTTGCGTCGGTTTGATTTTTAAAAAACTAAGAATATGGTGACCCGACTCAACCTAATCCAATATAAAAATAGAGGACAGGGTTGTGGACCCTATTCGGTTTCTTCAGGTCACCAATCCCAAAATTCCAAAAAAAATTAACTCAACCTAACTGATGTACACCCTAGAATTTAATTGAGTGGTTCTATTTGATAGCTTTTCGACCATGATTTTGAAATTTCTAAACTATGAATGTGGAGCAACATTGATGTAGTATATCGTTAATATCAAAACCCATTTGTTTGCACGGTGGGATCCGTTGCTAAGCCATGGTCCCAAATCTTCGAGTCAGCCCATCTAATTTGCACACATACCTCAGTGATTCTCGCTCGTTAATACAGAAAGTTCAAGAAAGCCCGTGTTGCTAGCAACCTCCACACGGATAAAACTCACATGTTTGTACACAATATTGTTTGTCTATTTAATTAAAAAGGCCTCCTTTTGGCCTACATCTATAGTTGCCATTGAGATAAGAATCTTCAATTCACTACCTGTTTCTCTCTCTCAGAGAGACACAAAAGCAGCAGTACAAAAGATGGGAAAACAAGATGGCAGAACATAACTATCATACACGTTCACATGTTGTCTCAAAAACATGTCGTGGAGGCCAACTTCACAGGACACTACCTTCTTTTCCTTTTCCTTTCTCTCACTCTCATTCAACCTTGTTTTACCATCTTTAAGCGCCTAAGCGTTGTTTCTCGAATGGCTACCGAACATATTTCTATATATATATATATAGATACTAAACTGGAATATCTCGGTGGAGATGAGAACGAAATCTTCTTTATAAGGGTGTGAAAACCCCTCCTTATAGACATGCCGTGAAGTTGACGGCGATACATGGGCCAAAGCGAGCCAATAATATTTGTCAGCGATGGGCTTGGGCTGTTACTAATGGAATCAAAGTCAGTCATTGGACATGGGAGACACTAGTCGGAGTAGGGCTAGACCCTTTCCATAGTAGACACGTTTTAAAACTGTGAGGCAGACGGCGATACGTAATGAACCATAGTGGACAATATTTGCTAATGGTGAGCGTGGACTGTTACTAATGGTATCAGAGTCAGTCACTAGACGGTGTGCGGTACTGGTCGGAATAGAGCTAAACTCTCTCCATAGTAGACACGTTTTAAAACCGTAAGGCTGACGACAATACGTAAATGACCAAAGCGGACAATATCTATTAGTTGTAAGCTTGAGTTGTTACTAATGGTAACAAAGTCAATCACCAGACGGTGCGAGACACTGGTTGGAGTAGAGCTAGACCCTTTCTATAGTAGACACGTTTTAAAACCATGAGGCTGACGACAATACGTAACAGGTCAATACAGACAATATCTACTAGTAGTGGGCTTGAGCTGTTACTAATGGTATCAGAGCCGGTCACTGGAAGTGCGAGACACTAGTAGAAGTAGGGCTAGACCCTCTCCATAGTAGACAAGTTTTAAAACCGTGAGACTAACGGTGATACGTAATGGGTCAAAGTGGACAATATGATCTACAAGTAGTGAGCTTGAGCTGTTACTATTATTGTAACTCACTTTCGACGCTCTCTCTTGAACAAAATTAGTATCGAAAAACCTCTCGGATTGGATCGTAATAGATTCGTGTCGTCGGGTCTTAAAAAGAGTGGTTGGTGACAAATAGGTACACTTAGAAGTGACCCATGCCAGCTTCTGAGTAGTAGAATCCTTACATCCTCCAGCTTGGGAATGACCCTCCCATTCATTCCCACCCCCACTACCTCAATATTCCAATATCTCTGCTAAGCTATCAGCTTGGGAATGGCCCCGCCCCTTAGCACTCCAAAAACCCCACATCATCCACACACCCAAATGTACCATTCACTCACCCTTCACAAACAACATCAAACTTAGGTTATTCAAACATTAGGAAGCTTTTAAGTAATGGGGTTTCATCAATTTGGTATGAGATCCTCCAAGATCTAAGCTTCTTGTTGTTAGGTATATATTCAATGTGATATTGTAATCTTCTTTTGTGAAAAAAGGCTATGATCTCACTAGCTATATACTAGGTTTTAGTCTCGAACCCCGATTTACTACCGCTATCCACGAGCCTTCGAACGAGAAAAATTCCTCTTTTTTTTGTTTCATTTTAAAGTACCGAGCAAATAAAGAGAGGAGAGAGTTTGAGATCACACAAATCTCTCCCTAACAGACATCGTTTTAAAACCCTAAAAGAAAGTTAAGAAAAGAAAGTTCAAATAGAACAATCTCTTCTGAGTGTGAGCTTGAGCTGTTACTAATTGTATCTAGACACGGATACTGAGTGTGAGCTTGAGCTGTTACTAATTGTATTAGAATTAGACACCGGGAGAGAGGAAGAGGCACATTGTACTTGAAGAGACATGTTTTCCTAGAATACGAGGATGAACAAAAATGTATGGTGTTTCTTTGATGTTTCAATTCAAGTAAAACCCTTTTTGTAGATCTGTCTTGTTTTTCCTTCGATTCCACAGAGGAATCTGAAATAATTTGATTTGAATTAATATTTAGCGTTGAATTTTTTTTTTTTTTAAAAAAAAAATTGGTTGGATGTGATTCAAAGAGAGGTCGGGAAGATATGGATAAGGGAGAAAAAATACAAAATTAAAGAAATAAATATTTGATCGATCGTTTTTATTAATATACCCGTCTCCGGCGGCCGGAATTTGTCGCATTTTTCCTTTTTTTTTGGGCAAAATCAAATTAAAAAAGATGAAAAAACCTTCATTTAAATTGAAATTATTACAGATGAAGATCCAAACTCACTTGCTCCGCCGTTTTTGCCTCGTAAACCAATCTGGTTTGTAGAGACCCGCCGGCACCACCGCCGCCCACGGCGGCGCCGCCGCGTTTCGTCATCTCATCACCGGACAAAAGTGGCAACGGGTGCAGCGACGACCGCTCCGATACGTTATTTTGAACAGCTGAGATTCTCCACATCGCCAATGGGCTTCCGTTTATCGGCGTCGCTGCGGCTGCCGGAGAATATGACCCACCAGGGCTGCCGTAAAATCTTGTGGCGGGGGCGGCGGCGGAAGGTGAATTTCTATTCCAAGAAGGGTAATTGTTGAAGTGTAAGCTGGACGGAGCGGCGCCTAGGCGGTGGTAGTTCATGAGGCCATAGACATGAGCAGCATCGGAGAAGGGTCCAATTCCATGGACCATGGTGGCGGCATTGGACTGAAGGTGAGCCCTTTTTGCATGTTGGCGCTCTCTTTTGTGGGCGTTTTGGTGACCTCCTAAGGCTTGAGAAGTAGGGAAATTTCTACAACAAAAATGACACTCAAATCTCCGGTTACTTTCCCCGCCGTTGTTCTCGTTGTTATTATACTCCTTACCATCTTCGCATGCAACAATCATGTCACCGGACTCCGAATCCTCAACCGACGAGGCAGTGGCAGCCGCAGCGTTTCGACTACCGAATTCTATCCCGAAAAGCCTAATACCCTTTTCTTTTGGCACAGGACGAATGAAGGGAAGTTGAGAAAAAGACTCAACGTTCATGAAATCATGAGTCTCTCGTTCACTATTACTCTTGTCCATGAAAGTACGAAACCTGCAACGGTCCGACTATCGATTGTAGCGGAAGAGGAAGAAGAAGAGAGAGAGAGGGAGAATATAGAAACGGTTGAGTTGGATCGAGTCGAGTCGAGCGTAGTAATGTGGAAGGGAAAGGGGAGAATGTGTGGGTCTATAAAGGGTGTGGGGGTGGTGGAGCTGACCCATCTGAGAGTGAACCCTGACAAAGCCACAAGTTATGATCAGAGAGGCTCTGGCTTCTCAAAGTACCATATTGGCTTCCTTCATTTTTTTTCTTTATTTGATGTAGAAAGCTTCTCAAAGTACTTACTAGGGTTTAAATCAATTTTATTTACCTTACCCCTTTAAACTATATACTAAATTTTACAAATTACGATGCGACGAACCGAACATACGAACTATGCTTTATTTTTCGGTATGATTCGAGTGAAGAACACGTTCGAATTTGATATAAACCCTAGATTTAAAAAGATTTTGAGCCAAAATTTTCATTTATTACTCATATGCTTTAAACCCAATAAAATTATTGCCCAAAAAGGTAGAAATTTATTATCTTTCCTTCCTTTAGTTAAATAATAAATAATGTATTGAAGTTTATGAATCAAAAAGAGGGAGCATTGGTATATCTTTAGTTATTACCTTTGTTGGGAAGAAATCTATCATATCTTTTAAATCCAACAAAATATTTGCTCATTTAATTTCATTCGAGGTCATTCAGTCAACCAATTTGAACATAGCTCAACTAATTAAAACACGACATATGTTTATTTGTTCGGAAGCTCAAATGTTCAAATACTTCATATGGCTGAAGTTGTAATGCTCCATACTCAAATTTTGGATTTGGCATCTGATAGTCTCGAAGCATGTTGTATAGACAAAACATGCTAAAAGAACCCGTATTGGTCATTGGAGATAGTCTTTGCTCTCGAAAGTAATTCAAGACAAGCAAGTAACATAACTATATTGTAGGAGATGCAAGAAAATGTCGGAACAATCCGTATCAAATCTATATTCTAAATCTTAGGTATATTGCGTTACATTAAACCGACAAAATGAATATATAAAAAAAATTAATTATGTTCTACGATTTAGTGACATCATGTAATGTCACCCATTAATCAACACTAATTATTGGTTGTCTTTATTTGATAAGAAAGACAGCTTCATATATATAAAAGGATAACGTTTGTATGATTAACCTTTGTGTCTGATTGAGAAAGACCACCTCAATTTCGTAGTGATTGAGGTTAACATGGATAAGATATTAATAAAATATTGTATATTCCTATAATCGAAATTCTATTGTCTCGAGTAATAATATTCTTACAATCTAGCTAGTTTTAGCCAAGTTTTACTATTCTCCAAACGTCTCACACAGTTTCTTATTAAACTCCAAAATGAAAACCGTCATTAAACATACATTATGTTCAATCTCAAATCGGTTGGAGACGGGAATGAATCCTTCCCTATAAGGATGTGGAAATCTCTCTCTAACAGATGTGTTTAAAACCATGACACTGATAGAGAGGGGAATGAAACATTTCTTATAAGGGTGTGAAAACTTCTCTCCTAATAGACGTGTTTTAACACCGTAAAGCTGATGGCGATACGCAACGAACGAAAGCAGACAATATCTGTTAATGATGGACTTGAATTGTTACATATTACGAAGATTTCTATGAATTGGGTTTACGTCGACTAAACAAACGGAACAAAATCATTATCAAATGAAACACGACAATTGGGTTACATGCATGTGTTGTCCATGAATGAGTGGTAATGTTTAATATGAAATGTCGTTTATAGAAAGAATAATAATATTAATAATAATAGTTGGTCGGTAATTCTGTAATTTGTGTGTCATTTTTCTCTAGAACTGTCTTGTTTCTCTCGCTCAAGGACCAGTTGCATACTGGTAGTTGGTGTTGGCTCTTTATAGCTTTGTTGGGTGTTTTATATCAGCTTCCACACCTCTGAACAAAGTGGTCCTCTTCCATAAACAACTTACAAAATATTTCAAATGCATGTGAAACCCTACACGAATGGCCAAAAAAACCCACCTCTCATGAAAAAAAAAGTTCTTTGAGTGCGACCGTCACTGACCGTTTACGAGTAATCATCTCTAGGAGTGTTCATATGACCTGAAAATTCGATAAACCCGACCAACTCAAAAGTAGAGTTATGACCTTAACTATGTTAGTGATGCGTTATGACTTGTAAATGTTTGAAATGACAATTCAACCTAACTCAGGGTTAGGTTTTGAGCTCTGTAATTCGAAATTTCGAGTTAATCCAAAAGATTTTTTTTCAACTTCCTCACGAGTTTCTCTCTCTTCTCTTCTCTCTCTCTCTGTGGGGGTAACAAAGTACAACTGATGCCATGTCTCTTTCATCCTTTACTTTGGTTGAGACATTATAATTACTCTTCAAGCTCCCTTTGCTTTCCTTCTCCTGTTCTACCTTTACATCTATCTCATCTCTCCACTTCCTCATTTTACCCTCAACTTTCTCTTTTCTTCTCTAAATTTACCGTTTATTGTTTACCGTTGATGGCATCTCCTTCTCATGTCTTTATCGCTATGACACTCGAGTAAAACAGTAGTACATGAATGAGCGAGATCTTAAAGGTAATATAGCTAAAAAAAACCTTAAAATAATGGAAAGTTACTATTTCCTTTTCAGTGGCTCAGTCATAGGAACTCTATGGTTATAACAACAAGATGCACTTTCCTTTTCAGTGACTCAGTCATAGGAACTTTATGGTTATAACAACAAGATGCACTTTCCTTTTCAGTGGCTCGGTCATAGGAACTCTATGGTTATAACAACAAGATGCACTTTCCTTTTCAGTGACTCAGTCATAGGAACTTTATGGTTATAACAACAAGATGCAATTTCCTTTTCAGTGGCTCAGTCATAGGAACTCTATGGTTAACTGTGTTTTGCTTGGAACAATTCTATATTGAGCGACCTCTTGACAAATTTTATAAGACGCATGTGAGTGAGAACAAAATATGTTGGAATGACTCAGGTTGGTCTGTGACCATGTTACAGGGGAATGTTAAGGCTATCAGGTGATGAATTCAGATCTTGGGCATGAGTTGTGTTTCTCTGTCTCTATCATTAGCATTATCGATGAGTAGTGTTTCGAGTGGTTATTTCTCCGTCTCATTCACTCATGGCTCGAGTGACTTCAAATTCAAGGAACCACTATATTATGATGTTTAAATTCATGAGATTTAAGAGACTTAGAACACTATTCATAGGAAATCAAACCTCCATTCATGCAAACTATTCATCTTTCAAATCAAAAGGGTTTGTTCCAATCATTTGTCTACCTTTTTGTTTACATTTAATTCAAACAACTATTTGAGCTAAGTCTTCACATCATACTTTTATTCCTATTACAAACATATAATGAACATCATTTTCAATGACAACAATGAACAAATTTGCATTTTAAAAGTCAGCATTTGCCTTTTTATGATCAAAAGGAAGAACAAATTGAAGAGTTGTTTTTTTCTTGTTCTTAGTGGGATGGGAGAAAGTAAAGCAAAGAAATTGCATAGGGAAGAGCATATTGAAAGCTACACAAACATGAAATGGAGAGACCCAAAATCCATTGATTTAGGTAATCTAAAAAGAAAGTCACGAGAGATTAGGCTCGAAGTAGACAATATCATACTATTGTGAAAGTTAAGAAAGCCACGAGAGTTTAAGCTCGAAGTAGATAATATCATAACATCGTGGAGGTTCAAAATGCCACGAGCCTTTAGGCTCGAAGTAAACAATATCATACGATTGTAGAGGTTCGTTACTAAGAAGCGTGAAGCTGAATGAAAACTTTAAAGATATTTTTCGGAATGTAGGTTAACTCGTCTAGCAATTATTCTTGCTCAACTGCCTCCTGTTCATAATTCTACCATTCTATGCAGCCCCAAGACATGTCATTTTCTATCTCTCTCTCATATGCATCATTTCTTGGGGGAAGGATGTTGTTATCTTAAGCATTAACATTTACTCTTAAAAGAGATGGGCTACGACTCGAATTCTTCCTGGATGAACTATCAAGTGGGGCGTAGGAAGCGTTTATTAGGAATTAGAGATGTTCATTTGGGTAAAGGTCAACCAAAATTTTCATTTATTATGACGAAGATTAAGGTAAATATACACTTAGTAAGCCGATATGTATATAAAAGTGGAGACGGGGCGGAGACTGAAGTTGGGTTGGGTCAAGTAATCCCTGTCTCTAGCCCTGTTCATCTAACGAGGAGAAATCTCTATCCACTCTCAGTTCTATTTCCTGTTTAAACGGAGATTTTGAGAGAGAGATTTGGTGTGATCTCGAAGTGGACCATGCATACGAGCCGACATGGTCTCTCAGAAATCCACATCTCTATCACTATGGCTGACCCAAAGAAAAGAAAGACAAGGAGAGACCACTGGGAGGTGTTGCAATCCATGGAAGAAAGCAGCTTCCTTCTTCTTTGCCATTAAAGTCACAGTCATAGGCCCTTTCGGGACCATTGCTCTACCTCTTCTCGATGCAACTGCACCACTTATCTAATTATTCTTATTTTTTTCCCTTCTTAAAACCCTTATCTCTCATCATGTGAATCTCTCTCTCTTCTCTTTAATTCATCTCGAACCAAAGTTATGGACTAACAAAATTTATAAATTTTTCATTTATTCGAACATAACTCAGTTCAAATAACTTTATAACCTAACGAATTAGGTCAAATTCATTCGGTTTGAATCTTTTGAACCTACCAAGGAAGACCCAATTTTCAAAAACATAATTAGTAAAGAAACATAAATGGTTTAGATGATTAGCAAGTAAAAAGTAGGAAGAACACTCGATGTATCATCATCATATATATGATGATATAACGTGAGGAAGTTGCTCGGATTCACATCACAGGTCCCTCTCCCTCTCTCTCTATAGAGAGAGAGTGAGAGGCAATTAAGGAGGTAGCAAAGCAAAGCAATGGATTGATATTGTCTCTTGTGGCACAATAGAGAAGGGTCACTATCTTGTTGTTCCTTCTCTCTCTCTCTCTCTCTCTCTCTCTCTCTCTCTCTCTCTCTCTCTATGTGTCTCTCTCAGGGATTATGACAATATGGCAATGGGCAATGAGGTGGGGTGAGAGTGACTTGGGCTTAGAGGAAATCTCCTGTCCAGAGCTAATAGCATGGCGTTGTTCCCACACACATACCCTTTATATTAATTTCCTCATTACTTTTCCATATTACAAAACACCAATTTTCTTCACTGTTTGTGGACCATAATGGATACACACACCTTTGATTCATATCATGTCTATATCCCTTCTCCTCCTGTCTTGTCATCTCATCTCATCCCATCTCCCTTTTTATTAACCTCTTCTTCTCCATGCTACGACATTCTCTTATTCTTTGTCGCCTCTCTCTATCCTTTCACATTCTCTTCTTAACCCTAATGTTTTACCAACCAACATATACTAATGTTTTTTTAAGGATGTGTGTTTATATTTACTGTCTATACCACTGAAAACGAAAACAAAGAAGTTTCAGGGGCGGAAAGAGGTAATGGAATTGAGAGACCAACAGGGAGAGGAGCTGTTTTGATTTGCTAAGATTAGTCGGTCGAACGTACCTTTCTTTTCGATGACTCAATCATACGAACTTCAAAGTTAAGTTCACTTAGCTTCGAGTAATTTTATGTTCGAGTGATCTTCTATGAATTTTCCTTGAAAACATGAGTGAGACCAAAATAAGCTAAAAGAACCCATGTTGTTTTGTTGGGACAACCTCCACTCTATGCATAGTTCAAAATAAGTAGATAATGTAGTAATGTCATAAAACAGTGTCAGAGTCATCCAGCATTGAATATGAACTAGATACTCATTACCATTTCAATTTCTAAAACAAGTCGGTATCCAACCAACTCAATTCAATACCATCTTGACAGCTAAACTAGTCTCTCGAAAAGTCAACCCTATGGGTAGCGTTTCAATTGAGTTAGTCTCCTACGCAAGAGGAATACTTCCTAGGCCAACACGTCAATAGCATTATTTCCAAAAATTACTGCATCTAAAAGAGTATCAATCAATAGCTTATTTAACTTAAAATAGAAAACAAAAACATGTCACGTGTGTGAGTGATTAGAATACAAAAAGTTTAGTACAAAGTTCATTAAATTCTCCAAAAAGAGGGTTGAAGGGTTTAAGGCAATGGGGACAGAAGAATGGAAAGGTTTCATGGTCCTCTTACCACCTTTGTAGCCTACACTGTCTTCTGACCGACCTATTATATTTCACAATTTACTTTCTTTCCTCTTTTATTTATTTTTAGGACACATTTCCATCACCATCTCTTCATATCATGCATTAACAATTTGTCTGTGGGGACATCTCTCTTAAAACCCATTATTTCTCTATCAACCAAGTTTTTAAATCAATTCATACTTACCCATTGATTCTCTTTCGTTCTAGCCACTCGAGCAAGGTTAAAACTTAGTAACCTTCGAGCTTTAGGTAAGAGTAAAATTGACTGTGCTTTTATTTAACCTTGATATGATCAATTGGAGTTGGTTAGGTTAGTCAAAGTTGTCGAGTTGAGGTTGGAAGAAGATGTTGGGCTTGTTGACTAAATATTTGGAGGGCTCCTCTACCGACAAGAAAAATCTTTCGATTAGTCTCCATTTACTAAGTAGCTGTCCTTTCTTGATCGTTTTCACTTTTTTGCTAGAAACATCTCTCTCTCCTATCTTTGCAACCATGTTCTCTTAATCATCCAGGAGATCACCCACATGGTGCTAAGGGAATACACGGATTGAGTTGGGTTGGGTTGAGTTGAATTGAAAAAAGAAATTGGACCAACACGAAAAACTACTTTTTTTTTTTTCAAGGCATTATCATCGATCAAACAATTGACGAATAACTCATAAACATAACACAACCAAAATCCTTACTCGAATTACAAAAACGATGAACATTTGTTTATCCAAACATGTTTGAATGAGAAACAGAGAATCATTAGCAGAAACCCATGTTCTTCATGTTTTGACACTAAAGTGGGAGCTGAAATTAAGAGCCAATATAGTATCTGAATTTGGTAGTTGCTAAGTTTACAACCTCCACATCAATAATGTTCCCTCCATTTACTTCATTTCCTGCAATATTTGGTCCACATCTTTAGATCATAATGTTGACTTGACATCCCTCTTTTCAAATATCTTTCCTCCTTAAAAAATCAAAATTTACCCGTTTATCATATTGTATCGATTTTCACGACAAGAAATTAGCTCATCAAGCATTCCCGTTGTAAGATATTTCAAGCAACAGAAAGCATCTAATCTAACCTTATAGCATTCCCGTAGTAAATCCATGAGTTTAAGCTAAATCTTTCTCGATCATATCAACCTAATGAGTATGAAATGATATAATGTACTTTCACTTACATATTGAAAACCAATGTCAATTCCATAGACGAGAGAATCTTTTTGTTTGAATAACGCGAACTCCCAACCCCCTCTTTAATTTCACATCTTTCTTTACTGAGCTATACAATCAAAACTCTCTCTCTCTCTCTCACAGCTCTTCTTTAATGGTGCAGTAAATTTTAACCCTTCGTAGAAGAAGAAGAATCTAAGATACGTCGAGGATCGTTGGGAGAAGAGTCTCATATTGGCTAGTTAAGGAGAAGATCGTGAGTTTATAAGTAAAGAATACTACTTCTATTGGTACGAAGCTTTTTGGGAAAATAAAAAAGTAAAGCCACGAGAATTTATGCTCAAAGTGGACAATACCATACTATTGTGGAGGGTCGTCAGTTCTCGAAGTTGGGTATCTACTTTCCTTTCAATTCTTTGGCAGAGCAAACATGAGCTGATCTTATGACATTTCTTACAACTTTACCTGAGTTTCTGTGGTACTTCACTCAGAAACCCCTAAACAGACTAAAAAATGTGCTTTTTTTTTTTTGGCTTTGATGAACTTGTAAGGCTTTTGTCCTTCTACCATTCTAAAAGTTATGTCATAAACTAAAACTCAGCAGTACTTATTACTGTGTCGTTCTTTCTTTCTCTCTCTCTCTCTATGGATCTTTTTAGCAATGCTCAATTCCTCCAAACACAGCTTAAGGGGAAAAACGTACTTGAGAGACCTTTTTTTGCTCTTGATTTGATATCAGTGTGTGCTGTAGGGCCCTTTAGGTGATGCAAAGGAAATCTGCCAAAGATGAACAGAAACTCACATACTATCTAATGAAAAAATGTGTCCAAAACTTAGATAAGTATATATCTACCTACCAAAGTACAAGTGTCTTAACTGGTTTTAATGTTGAAGCCCCAACTCAAAGTTACAAAGCTTTTGCTTTTCTGGTTTTGTGGTTATAATTTGAAATAGATATCTCTAGCTCTGGCTAGCCTAGCTTGTTTTGCCTTCAAAAGGGTAGGACTCATTGCCGGCCAAGTGGATAGTTACCCCTTTCATTTTCCCTCGCTCTCATTATTCCATTGCAATGAAAGCTCTATAACTAGACGAAATATTAATGGGGTCTTATGTTTTCCACCTCTTTATGGCCTATTTTGGACATTTTAACGAGAGTTGAATGAATAGAGTCCTGATTTGAAGAACCTATTCGTCAGATAAACCTAAGAAAACCCTTCTCTTTTGTTGTAAAAACTTTATCACTCTACAAAATCTTAACAGGGTCGTTTGGGTTTGGGTTCGTGCTGTAGATTTACAAGAGTACCGAACATGGCAGCACATCGAGCCTAAAATGGTAGCATATCCCCCATTTTAGTCGTCATATTTGACTAAAACTAACAAGTTAGCGTCATCACTTATTAGCTAGATCATGGTGTGAGACAACTGTGAGATCCCACATCAATTGGAAAGGGGAACGAAACATTCCTTATAAGGGTGTGAAAGTCTCTTCCTAGCAGACACGTTTTAAAATCGTGAAGCTGACGAATGTAGCGGGACAAAACAGTCAATATCTACTCACAGTGGGCTTGGGCTATTACAACAACAGTTTTCCATCGAAGAAGTCTAAACTAATTCATTAATATACAAACCCCACAACAATAATTAGCTGCATATCTTTCTCCATCCTTAATCAATTTAAGGTTAAAACTAAGAGAAGATGGGGAAAATTTATGAGAAAATCTTGAAAGGGGAATTGGGCAGGCATTCACAGCTGGAGACGCAGCCAATTATGGGTATGAGATTTATTGAGAAATTAACGCAATCTGAAGCTCTATGGGTTCTACAATAATTGAATTTGATTCCTTCACATTTTGTGAGCCAATCATTTATTGATAAAAGGGTTTTCTATTACAGTGATTGGTCAATTCAGTGTTATTCTTCTTCAATTGTGTGACCTTGGAGATTTCCCAAATTCTCTATTTCCATTTCCATTATGCAAAAATAAGTTCAGGTATGGCTCGAGATTTGATATCTTTTAACTTTTTAGTTGAGAATATAACGTGTTATCTGCTTAAAACTAAGAGCTGATTAATCTATAAATTTCCAAGAAACTTTCATCTTAAAGCTCTTGAAAGCGATAAGACGACAAGTCATGACGTTTAGGGCTTCCTCCTTATCCCTCACCCTACCCTTTCATTTCTGTTTAAACTTTTCCGACTACAGGGATTAATTGATTGGATACCTGTGAACCACAATCTTTCCTAGGAACTGTTTCTATGACAATAGACGGAGTACTCTGACCTCGGGTAATGATGCACCTAAGGACAAGCCAACAGCCAACTCAACAACAATTGACCCACACAAAGATGACACACACAAACTGGTAACGTCGTATAGAATGGACCATTTGAATCAATAGATCCAGGTAACTTTACTCATCAGTAACGTTCACTTCACAATTATTGGAGTCATTTGATTCAATACTGGTCCACACTTACGCCCACTTGAAATTGGTCAATTTTAGAAAGTTTGATTCCTTGAGCAAGTTTATCATCACAGATGAACAAATCTCGTATCACAATTGCAGAGTTCTTATCTTCTCTAACATGGGAATAATATTCACTATTATTTCAGTTAATCAACACTCATTTGAGTTATTCCAAATCTTTGCTAGAGTGAAGTAATAATGCTACTGACTCTGTATATAGTCTCCTTAAAAGTGCAATCTATATAAGATGATGACAACAATATCAGACATTTCTATCCTTAAAAGTGCTAAGATCTTCCTAAACAGAGGATCTGATCAGCTGCTCGATCGACACAACGACCAGTTACCGACAACATCAAGCAGAAGCACAATATTTGATTTCAGAGAGAATGTGATGGTACCTACTGTAATCTGAGATGTGTTTGAAGGCAGGAGTTAAATCAAAACTGCTGCCAAATGTTGTGGGTTATTGGTTGCAAAAGCTGCTTGATGAATAAACAATGAAGGCCAGACAGTGTCGACCTGCAGGACGTGTTTGATAAGCCATTAGCTACAATGAATGCCAAAGGGTTGTGTGATGAATTAAAGCTTAAACGAACAAAAATGGTACGAATGTAGGAAGGGCCACAAAAATTGAAATGATAAACGTCAAACTTTCCATTACACTAACACGCAATAATCTTGTTAAACTAAAGCTCCATGAATTTACGAAGCCACCAGCAAAATTTCTGAGTTGGTAAGGGTATATTTTAGAAGAAATTGATGGGAAAAATTGAGCCAAAAGCAAAAAAGGGGAAAACATGACTGATTTACCTTAATCGGGCAGCATCCATTAGAAAGAAACTTCAACCAACCTCACCATTCTGTGAGATGATACACAAACAGAGATAACAGAGATGATCGATCAAATTTCCTTTTGGGTTTCCTGCGATTCTACCGCCATCGGGTTGCTTGCCTCCCAATTTTTTTTTTTATAAATTAATCAATATTACTTGCTTCATATTAATTTTGCTAAACCAACTTAAATTTCGCTATATTACAAAATAAATAAATAAATAAATAAAATAATAATAATAACTTTATATTAAAAAAAAATGTTTCGAAAGTTAAAATATTGCTATAACTTAGTGATTGAAACATCAATTATCATATGTTGAGATAGACAATCCATCTGGCCGTTGTTAGAATGAAAAAAATGAGATTTATTTGACGTATATATTTCTTTGTTATATATTATAAATTACCCTATAAAAATATTTTTTAAAAATACATTTAAAAAAATTGTCATCTCAAATCAACAAAATATTTTCACAAACTTATACCATCTAGATGGGTCAAAAACAATTTTAAATTTCCCAATAAAATTGATCGTCAAAATAAAATTTATAGTAAGGGGATGGATAAAGGGCGTATTACCATTTCCAAGTCGACATTCGATCTTGAACTCTACCATTGTTGAATTAAAAATTGTTTATTTCTTTCGCAATCGACATAAATCTTGAAAAATAAACTTGATGGAAAAAAAAAAAAAACAAACAGATTAGAGACCGATCTCCCAAAAGAACACATTATTTCATTCATGTGGAACATCACTGAGCTTCAATAGATCAGGACATCCCTGGGTATCAACATCAAATTTGCTTAGCAATGATCGAAGAAGAATTAGAAACTAAAGATAATACTAAGATATCAAAACATAGAATAAGAGTTCGTCACACACCTCAGCGACAATTGACATTTACTCCTTCCTTTTAGGTCGGAGATTCAAATCCTCATTACCGCACATTTCTTATACAACAAAAGAACGTGCTTTAAACTCAACCTATCAGCTTCATTCACAAGTCCGTATTTCATATATGAATTGTTTTCTAAAACAATTCCAAATGAGAATTTGAACTCGATCATATAAACGAGCAGTAATGCCAATAAGAACATTAACAAAACTGTTGATGCAAATAGAAAATTATTACAGTATTACACAGTTCAGCATGTTTTCCTTTCAATGTTCCATCATTTCACTCACACCCACGAAGTCTTCTAACAGGAAATAGTAAAATGTAGTGTAATCTTTCAACTAAAGAAGATACTTATAGATTATAGATTTGGATAAGATGCTACATAAATAAACCCTTTCTCAAGTGACTCGTACGCATCAACTTTCACGCACCTCTACTATTCTCATTTGACAACTACTAGACCTTAATACATTCAATTGTCAAACTAACTAATACGGGATATTAAATCGACTATCATGACTTGAAACTATTCTCCCTCAATCTTTTATTGTTTATATGACTCTTATCGATCTTTAGGATAACCCATGTTAGTGATAAAATCAATCATATTTGAAACTCGACCCTCAACCCTCAGATATATCTACTGTACTCAAATGGTTTGTAACAGTCCAAGCCCACCTAGCAAATATCCCTTCCGGGCTTCCCCTCAAGATTTTACGTGTTTACTAGAGAGAGGTTTCCACACCCTTATAAGGAATGCTTTGTTCCACTCTCCAACCGATGTAAGATCTCATAATCCACCCTCCTTAAAGGCCAGCATCCTCGCTGGCACACCACTCACTGTCTGGCTCTTATACAATTTGTAACCACTCAAACCCACCTTAGCAAATATTGTCCTCTTTGGGCTTTCCCTTACGATTTTAAAGTGTGTCTACTATGGAGAGGTTTCTACACCTTTAAAAGGAATGTTTCATTCCCCTCTCCAACCGATGTGGGATCTCATACTATTACTACTCAAACTACACCAATAACGTCTATAAATTTCACCTAGAAACCATATTTTGGTTGACCCTCCACCAACCAATTGTACTTAGAACTGTAAGAGAATCATAACCAACAATTGTAGCACTGTTCTCACCAGTTCGATTACAAAACAGTGATTGCAATAGTCAGCATCATATTATAGACCACTAAAGCTTTGAAACTCTACACACTTCTTATGAGAACGATAGATAGATAGTGCAAGAATCCATGGTTCTATGGGTGCTCTAAAGGAGGAGAAATTACAAGCTAAATTAAGAAACCTCAAGTTCATGGAATGTCATAATGTTTGGTATGCTAGGAATCTCAAACAGATAAGTAACTATCACAGCATACTAATCAAGCAAAGAAGGCTTGAATTGGATATAGAATGGTAGCTTAGCTCAAAATTTATTGATCAACAGCCAGCAGAACCCACAGAAGGCAATAGAATCATTGAATGTAATCAAAGTTTTCAAAGAACAAAAACTTGTTCTGATCCCAGAAAGGATGGAATTATTTCCAAATCTAATCAAGAATTCAAGCGAAGATTAGAACCAGAATCACCCTCTCAAATTTTCAGAAGCCATAGCTAAACTAAGTCCGATGAACTCACTACAAAATTAACATATAGAACCCTAATAAAAGCCTAATCAGCCCAAATCAAGTACGAAAAATTCATAATCAAAGTGGTGGGAAAGGAGCGTAAATTTGATTCAAGCCTAACCTAAATCAGTTCGTCTTAGGATCTGGCATCGGGAACAAGCCGGCGCCGGCGCCCCTTGGCGGCGAGAATCCCAAGAACTTCTGCAAATTGGTCCTAATGCTAATCGAACAGAGGAAGTACAGAAACGCCATAGCGCAATCGGTAGGATCATCGCCCTGTAACCCTCGGTGGCTCATCTTCATCACCAGTCCGAAAGGCTTAAACGGCAATTTGGCAACAACCTTGCCTTCGAAGAGCGAATTGAGCAATCCAAAGACGACGAACAGAACGAGGGCAACAACGGCACCGGATTTGAACTTAAAGAGTGAGAGGTCGCGGCTGGATTCCTTGAGACTGGTCTCGACGCGATCGATCTTCTTGGTTTTGGACTTCTTGACGGTGATTTTGGAGCTGTCGGTCTTCATGGTCTCGAGCTTTTTGGCAGCCTTGTCGATGGAGGATCGTAGGGTTTTGTAGGAGTTGGTGCGGTAGATGAGAAGCCATGAGATGGCCTCGCACACGATGGCGGTGCAGACGGAGATTCCGACCACCGTGAGGCTGTCGGAGTATCGGAAGGAGGAGAAAAGGGGGATCGTGGCCATCGCCGGAATTGGGAGGAAAGATCAAAAAATTGTTGTGGAGAGTTGGATTGGATCTAAAGGGGAAATTGTGTTTGAATCTAAATCATGTGATTTCAAACAAAATTGTCAACTCCGATCAATTACGAGGGAAAAGAACGGCCACACTCATTCTCTTACAAATATTTATATATATATACGGCTAAGATTCATTTTCAAATCTAGTTGACATTTTTTCTTCTTTCCCACACACAAAATTATCAACTTCCATCAATTATGAGCTAGTACACTGATCCGTGTCTTGTCTATGGCACCATTTGTGATGATCAAAATTCATCATTCAGTGTCTTGCCTCTGGCAATTATGAGCTGCCACACCGTTCGGTGTTTGCCTCTAGCACCATTTGTAATACCCTAAGCTCACTTTTTAGTATTTTGCCTCTGACACCACTTGTAATGACTCAAGTTCACCACTAATAGATAGTGTTCGCTTTGGGCCGTTACATTATGCTATCAACCTTATAGTTTTAAAACTTGTCTACTACATAAAGGTTTTGCACACTTTTTATAATAAATGTTTTGTTTGTGACGTGGATCGAATATTTTTTAAAAAAATATTAGGGTCTAATTTGATAAAATTAAAAGTTTTAGGGCAAAAATGTAAATAAGACTTCTTGTTTTGGATCTTTGGGCCGAAGCTCGGAACGAGGGCTTCCAAAATATTCAACTCTCTCTTATCTGTTAAGTTGGAAACAAAAGCTCTAGTCCACTATCGGTGCCGGAGAAGGTGGCCAAGCTCTGCAGTGCGTCGGCTCATCGTCGGAAGCTTGAGGTGCGTCGGCCACGTTCTATATCTAGCTGTTTTTCAAAGCTCTGTAAATGTTTCGGTAGCATTGCCTTTGAGTTTCGGTCAATCAAGGAGTTTTTGTTGTGTTCTTTCTCGTGTTTATGTAATGCTTTTATCGATAGCTTAATGGTCTTTTCTTTTGACGTTTATGAAGTTCAGATTTTCTGGAGTTTTAAGCCTAAAACCTAGGGCTAAGAAATTTGCAATTTGAAATGCTTTCGACATTTTTCTGAGAGTAAAGTAGCATTAAGTTTGTTCTTGCATCTTTATAATAGTACAATTTCCTGATGTTTACTAATGGTGAATTTGAACTTCCTTTGAGTTATCTTTAAGTGGAGCACGTTGTCCAAAATGTTCAGGTGTTGCTTGCTCCCCTAAATGCTTAATAGATTTTAGAAGCTACAAAACCTATCACTTTTAATGTTGTCAAAGAGATTGGTTTAAAAGGTGATACCTCTAAAGCTTTGAGAATGACCTATTCTGGGTGGAGATTGCTAACTGTGCTCTCACAGGTGTGGAAAATGGGGAGCAAATTGCAATAGAGGTAGTACCGGAGGAAGAAATTGTAGCATCATTGCAATTCACTGCAATTACGAACAACCCGAGACGATTCCCTTTTGCCTTCCAGGCCAAAAAGAGAGGCAACATTTCTTCCATGAATTCTCTTTTCTTACATTCTTCTCTTGGTCCACCACTTGCTTGCAAGCCCCTGCCATGTCCTCTTAAGAATCCTATACATATGCGTGCACTACTTGGCTTTCGATGCAGTACTAGGATATTTTCTCGTTCGGCATTATTTCCTGTCAAATTATGTCCATCCTTACATATTAGCAGATCAATCACCTGTTCTTCAACTCCTTCAAATGAGGGTGTGGTATCAGTGATCAATTTTGAAGATTTAGTTGAGAAGGACTTTTCGTTTCTCGATTCAGACGATTTTGGTTCTATAGAAGAGCATGATGAAAAGATTAGGCGCATCATTTCTGCTGGAGAAATTGCAGAAAGTTCTCAGGTTATGGTTGCCATTTCTTCAGAAGGATTTGTTGATCGGTTGTATGACTCAGCTCCTTGCCGAAGTTTACTTGTTGTCCATGATGCTATTCTACCATTAGCTTGTATTAAAGAAAAATATGACAAAGTTAAGTGCTGGCAAGGAGAAGTTATATATGTGCCAGAAAAATGGGGACCTTTCGACGTTGTATTTCTCTATTATCTGCCAGCAATGCCTTTTGAACTCGACGCGATCTTTGGCGCACTCACACAACGTTGTTTGCCAGGTGATTTTTTTTCTTTTTTTGCATAGTTTCTTACCATCTTTGTTCGATCTCCAGATCATAAGTTATGGATTTGAGCAATTAGTTTTTACCTTGCCTCCAAGATATATCATTAGTCCTTGGGGCAATGTTGAGATATATTGCGACATAATCTGTTAGTTCCTTTAGAAAATAAAACCACATGGAAATGAAAACTTGCTTGTTTTATAGAGTCTATTACAGCCCTAAGGTAATCTATTTCCTTCTTGCTCAATAGGGGGAAGACTAGTTATTAGCCATCCCGGTGGAAGGAAAGTGTTACAGCAAGAACAGCAACAGTTCTCAGATGTCGTAGTTTCGGATTTACCTGATAGGACTACTTTGCAGAAAGTTGCTGCTGATCACTCTTTTGGCCTGACTGAATTTGTAGATGAGGATGGCTTTTATCTTGCAGTTTTGAAGTTCAACAAGGATTGATCACGAGTCTGAATATTTCATCAGAGGCCAGCAGTTCAATATCTAAGTCCTGCTGCAAAATCTTACCAAATTTGGATAAACCAAATGTTGATGTTTTTGTCATTGATCATTGAGTATCATTTCCAGGTGGTAGTGCGAAGGATCAAGTTTGATATTCTCTGATCCTTGTTGGTTGCTTAAATTCCATCCAACAAGACTGTTACAGTTCTTGCTATTTTATGAAATCCTGAATCAGATAAAGTTCCTAACATGTGTTTGGGTGAAAAAATGATGATGATAACTAGATGAGTAAGATCACAAGTTACAGGGGAGATTACTGTGCTTGCACTAGTGCTTGTGCCTGTGCTGGCTGTATGTTAACTAAAATGTGTATTATCTCATGGACGAGGTTGAGCTTCAGGTCCTGGTGGTTTTGAAGAATTTAGAAGCGGCTGGAGAGCCTTAACCACAATTGTCATGTTTGGCCTGAAGTCAGCCTCGTACTGAACACACAAGGCTGCAACTGCTGCCAACTGAGAGGGATTCACATGGAAATTATAGTGGAATAAGTTTCCTATCCAATCCAATCCGAAACATCTACGACAATGATGAAAACTAACATGCATTGGATCGTTGATTAGCGGGTAATCGTTGATTTAGTTATAAAAACATGTTCTATGATTTGAATATGAATGTGATTACACAGTTGAAGATACCTTTGCTATCGCTTTTGGTGGGTAATCGTTGTTTAGCTTGGGATCTACACACTGTTTCACCTTGTCCTCACTTAATCTTGGTGTTGCCTGCAGAACAATATGAATGGCAAATTGAGTCTGAGTATACTTCAGGCAGTAGGAAGAAAGTAGAGAAAGGGAAGACTTACCCAAGTAACAAGACTCTGTTGTCCCTTAGGCATCGTGTGATCTACTGGCTTTCGTCCTGTCAAAAGTTCGAGAAGAACTACGCCAAAACTATAAACGTCACTCTTTTGAGTAATCTGTCCTGTCATAGCATACCTAAAAAGAGAAACCAAAGAAAGGAAGTTGAAAGAGTTTAGTCTTACTTTCAACTCAATCCGATGCAATGCAATATGGGAGAATATGAAATGATAAGCTTTAAGTTAAAATTCAATTTTCGTCCTTTAACTTTACGAATTTTCGTCCAGTCAAATATTGTCATTTTTGGGCTTTTCCTAACAAGTTGCTACAAATAGTATCAAAGTCAGGTTCCGGACAATGTGATTGCACTAGTCAGAGTAGAGTTAGATTCTCTCCACAGGAAAAACCTAAAGATGATAATATTTGCTAGGGGTGAGCTTAAATAGTTACAGTTTGACATATAGATTATGTTGCTTATATATGTGCATTAATATGTTGACATATAGATTATGTTGCTTATATATGTGCATTAATATGTTGACATAGGCCTGTACTAGACATAAAAGTTACCTAATAGACTTGTACATGACACAGAAGTTATCTAATATGTTGACATAGACCTGTACTAAACACAAATATTACGTGAGGTAAGTATTGGATAGCATGGACCAAAATAATTACTTTTTGAAAGGTCAAGAATCAAAATGAGACGTAATTAAACGTTTAGAGACCAAAATGGAATTAAACCTACGCTCTGTTGCTACGTTAGGCGTAAAATTCATTTCCAAGAGCAAGACATGTAGAAGTAAACACACAAAGAGCCTACTCTGGAGCCAAGAGCAAGACATATAGAAGTAAACACACAAAGAGCTTACTCTGGAGCATGGTAACCGAATGTTCCTAAGACCCTAGTTGAATGAAGTCGTGCTGCTGTATCCGACGATTGATTTGTCAAGTTGAAATCAGCAATCTTCGCAAGGAAGTCGTCGAAGAGAAGAACATTACTCGACCGGATATCACGATGAACTATGGAAGGCTGAACCTTCTCATGTAGATACTCAAGGCCTTTGGCTGCACCAAAGGCAACTTTAACTCTCTGGCTCCAAGTAAGCACTGGACCAGGCTCAGCCCCTTGTACTCCTTTTCTTCCTGTACTAGAAAATGATCAGAACAAACCAAAATCGTCAACAAAAAGAGGTAACTCTATGATTTAGCTCAACATACCATGTAATATATCGTGCAAAGAACCCATTTTTGCAAACGGATATATCAAGATTCGATTATTAGCCTCCAAACAATACCCAATTAACTCCAAAAAGTTCTCTTGCTTGAGCCTAGAAACAACTGATAGCTGCAAAACCATGACAACACATGAACACAAATGCGTTAGATGAGGATACTGATATACATTACCTTCAACATTCATACTGTTTCAAGATCGAACCTGAGCTGCAAAATCGTTGTCGGGCTCCGGTGAAGAACTGGTATCCAGTTTCTTTATTGCAGCAGCCTGACCGCACTTTAACGTCGCATAATAAACCCGACCGTAAGAACCTTCTCCGATGAAAGATTTCGTACCAAAATTACTTGTTAACCTGTTTAGTTCATCCAGTGTAATGACTGGTGTTTCAATAGGCAATATTTGCTGAGGAGGTCCACCTCTGACAACATTAGAGCTCCTAGGCTCTCCTCTCTCGCTGCCTACAATACAAATCAACTTTCATGATCCCCACATCACATCATCCATAGCCACAACAACGCAAATCCAGCATTTGAATTAAGAAAACAACAACAACAACCAATATGTCTAAGAACAATGGCTAACAAACAACAAAATCCAGCAGAATCCCATCCTCCAAACGAACAGGCATTTCAACAAACAGATTGAAGGCAATAACCAAAGAATTTAGAAGTACATGAGAAAAGAGCATTTACCACCATACGTATTTCCCCTCGGTGGGGCTGAATATTGACTCGAAGGCGCGCCATAATTTTCCTCCTCCACACCTCCGCAGCAGAACATCGCTTCCCGTCAATTCGTAGTAGCCTCAAAAACCTACGGACAAAGGAAAATCCACCAAATGCATCAAGAATCAATCAATTCTTTCGTCGACCCATTTAATAAGGATCGAGATGATGGAGGAACAAACAGGCAAAATGATAATAATAATAATTGCAACGAAAGAAGAAGAAGAAGAAGAAGAATAAGGGGAAATTGACCTGGGATGTGAATGAAAATGTAAGCGAGGCACAGAACAAAGAGATTGAAAGCGAAGAAAGACAGAGGAGGGGAGGTGGAGGAGGGGGAGGAGGAGGAGACTCCCTGCAATGGGTTCCTGAAATGGCGATTGGAGGAAGGTACATGTTGCTGTATTTAGCGGGAAACTCGGTTGGGATTTGCCTAACCGCTTAAACCAAACCCCTCAGACGTGCCTCCCACGTCGCACCTTCAATCTCTCCTCTACGCCCCCTCCTTTTTATTTATAATTTATATGCATTATTTATCTCTCGACTCCTAAAACTATAAAATATATTTAATTATAATTTAATTGGTTAAGACATATCACTGGTTCCGTTTATTGTTTAGATCACATTCCACATAGGCATGATTACAATATGTGTAAGATGAATAAAGACTCATCGTAAAACTTCAGCTCCCGTTTGTAGGGAAGTAGATTTCAATAACTTGATATTCACATAGACAAACGTTCAAACACGTTGTGGGCATGTCTCCCGGAGACTTGGCAAGCAAACAAATAAGCAAAAAGGAGCTTCTCGTCCCCATTAACAAGCTAAATGCAACCCAAATCATATGGTAATAACAAAGAACGAGCAATGGTACCTCAGTGATCCGAAGAACAAGACCGTCTCTTCGGAGGAGCTTTCCAAGCATCGACGCGGAACAACTCTTCGGGGAGCTTTAGTGAATCACTCGAAAGAGGAAGAGGGTTAAAATAGAGCAATTTGGGTTTGTGGGCTGATATCGGGTTTCGATTTGGCCCCAATGGTGTCCAATTTGGGGGGATGCCCTATTTTCTTCTTCTTGTTCTTCCTCTTTTAAGTTTGACCTTTCGCGGGTGTTGACTTAACTGTCGACGATATGTTTTGGTATTATTAATAAATAACGTCTAAATTATATTTATATATATAATTTCTGAAATTATAGTTTTATTCTTATGGTTTACCTCATAAATTAATTAATATTAAGCTTAATTAAATTGGTAATATATATTAGTTAGGAACCCTATGTTTTGGGAAGGGAGAGGATATGCCGCCATTGTTCTAGAGCCTTCCAGACCGAGAACCTTCCGAAATCCGCAGTTTCCCTTTCCCTTTTATCTCCTCCTCCGTTTCCATTTCCCATTCGCCACGATCTCTCTAAACGCGCCACTAAATTCTCTCTCCGACGTACTGTTTCCTCTCCCAAGCTCCGATAATGGCCAAGTTCGGCGAGGGCGACAAGCGGTGGATCGTCGAAGAACGGCCCGACGGTACCAATGTCCACAACTGGCACTGGGCGGAGACCGATTGCCTCGAATGGTCCCGCAATTTCCTCTCCAAGCTCCTCTCTGACCTCCTACTTCTCGACGATGAGGGCGGCCTTTTCATCAAGATCAAGAAGGTCGACAAGGTCGATGGAGAGGCGTATGTCAATATTCGGAAGGGGAAGATCATTCCTGGTTATGAACTCAGTGTCACTCTCTCTTGGGAAGGCGAGGCTAAGGATTCCGAAGGTAAATCTCTGCAGAAGGTTGATGGGCTTGTCGAGATTCCATATATTTCCGATGAGAACGCCGATGAGGATCCTGAAGTTAGGGTTTCTGTGAAGGACGAAGGGCCGATTGGGAAGAAAATGAAGGAGGCTATGTTGGCGAAGGGGAAGCCGATTGTGTTGGAGAAGGTGAGGTTGTACGTACAGAGTATGGCTAAGGGTGGGCCTGCGAAGGATGACTTAGAGGCTAAAAAGGTGGAGCCGAAGAGTAATCAATCGGCTCCACCTGCAGCAGCGATGGCGGCTGCCCCTGCGGCATCAAAGCCAGCAGTGGTGGCGGAGAAGAAGAAAGCCAAGAAAGGGTTCAAGACGATAACGATGACCGAGAAGTTTAGTTGTAGGGCTAACATTTTGTTTGAAATTCTCATGGATGATAATAGATGGAAAGGGTTTACTCAGAGTAATGCTAAAATTAGCAAGGAAGTGGGTGGAGAGATCAGTATATTTGATGGGTCTGTGACTGGGAAGAACTTGGAATTGGAAGAGGGAAAGTTGATTGTGCAACAATGGAGATTCGGAAGCTGGCCTGATGGCATTCATTCGACGGTGAGAGCTGCCTTCTCCTCTACTTATCTCATTCTCAATGCATTTCTAGTAGTGTCTCTTTGCCATTATGGAATTGCTTAATGAGTTCTAGTGAATAATCGACCAAATCATGAATTACCCATGTGAATGATCAAGCTAAATTGGTTCTGAAAATGGTGCACAGGTGAAATTAACATTGGAGGAGCCGGAGCCTGGGGTTACCATTGTGAAGTTGATACATTCCGACGTGCCGGAGGAGGACAGGTTCGTTTTTTACTTGAAAAGACAAAACTCAAGCTCATTTTGTGTGGTTCTGTGGCTAATTCGTTCATGTTTTGATATGAATTAGATATGGGAACGCAACTGTAGTGGAGAACACGGAGAGGGGCTGGCGGGATCTTATTTTCAACAAGATCAAAGCAGTTTTTGGGTTTGGAATATGATAGGGTTAGTACAAAAGTCCCTTGGTTTCTGCATATCTCCATGAATGAAATAGAGATTTGAAATGCCTAATTTTCTAGTGATCAAATGATGGTGTTGTTCTTACAGTGTGTTGTGTTCCATCCATATTGATGAATCAAAATTCATGGTTTTGGACTGAAGTCTTGAATTATACAATTGTCATCTAATCTCATTATCATAACAACATTTTGTCTTGTCGGCTGTATCTACCTAACATTATGTTGTCCTATGCATATGCTTTGACTGGCTGAAGGAACGCAGTCTCTTCTCACTTTAACTTTAGCTTTAGCTGATTTATTATGAACTCTGCAAGCGTTTGGTTTTTCTTTTATGATTCCGAAGCTTTCAACTGAGACCCAAGTTTAGGAAAGGGGGTGTTAAGCAGCTCACATGATAAGCATACACAACTAAAGGTTGTATAGTCATGGATACACACTAGTGGTATACACTTGTAGCCACATTGTATCGATCGTGTGGGTTGTGTACTTTTGCTCTATGATCAAACTTTTGAGCAAAATATTGACGTAGTGCTTGTTGCTCTTTAGTCTACCGTTAGTAGATATTATTTATGGTCTGTTACATTTGTGTACATATGTCTTCAGCCTCTTGATTTTAAAACGTGTCTGGAGAGGTTTTCACTCTTATAAGAAATGTTGTATCCCTCTCCAAGCAATATAAATCTCTTAGTTCACCCTTTAGGGCTCAGCATCCTCGCCGGCCGGCACACCACTCAATGTTCGGTTTTAATACCATTTGTAATAGCTCAAGTTTATCACTATCCGATATTGTTTACTTTAGCCTGTTATATATGTCTCATTGTTTTTAATTTCTTTACTATAGATAGGGTCTAGCTCTATTTGGACCCTTACTACTATGAATAGGGTCAATCCTATTTTGACCGGTGCTTCGGTGTATTTTGACCCGTGCTTCGTGTCTGGTGACTACTCTTGATTCTAATATCATTTGTAATTTGTAATAGCTCGAAAATCCATCCCATTCCATTCATGAAAATAGAGTAAATTATTGGGCCCATTTTGAAGCCTGTGAGCAGAGAGGCCTGTATAAAGCCTCTTCCGGTGCAAATTATACCAAACGCTAGGATATTTCAATTTTATCAAAGTGTAACTTTTTTTTTTTTTTTTTTTTTTTT